CCTTTTTACTCTTTTATTTCATCATTTGGTCAATACACACACTACACTAGGAGGTGGCGCCTGCTCTCTGTTTTTTTGCATATAGGCAGAGGTGATAGGAGGCTAGACTTTTCATATTATAGTATGGTTGTTGTTATCATATATGTTTTATTAGACCCCAGACCAAAAACCAACGGACATATACCAGGTTTACCCAGGACTGTCAAACAGATTTAGTGTGGTACATGAAATGCAGTTTTTTGCTGTTTGTAAATGGCCTTTTATAAATCATCCCATTACTTTGATAACATCACTGTTAATTCCTGCACTCCATAGCATCACCATTCACTCCCATTTCTCTACTCACACACATCTATCACCCTCCATACAATATTACAATGACAACATTAAATTCCACCTTGGAATACCATAATAGCAGAAGGGAATCAGGGAAGGGTCATGGCAGAGAGATAACCATTGGGTGCTCTCCACCTGTATAAATTATGGTGCTTGCTTTAGAATTACAGCATCTGACGCTAATACTCAAGCTCTTTCCTGCTTGGCCAAACAGTGAACACTACGTTAAATTGGAAATGAGAAAATAAAGCTAGCACCAGAGCTCAGCAGCTGCAGAACACCAATACTTAAAATATATTTCAGACTTTAAAGAAATGATACAATCACTGTCAGCTCCTAAAAGCCAAAGTTAAAATAGATGACAAAACAACTGTCAGAGTTTTCAATGGAAAAGTAAAACATAATTCATGGCCTCATATATATATATAAAAGTATCTAAAGACCACTGTATATTAACAACCAGCTTCTGCCTTTAGTTTTGTAAACTTAAATAGCGCCACCCAATGCACGACATTACTTGTTGTATAAAATGCAGACATTTATTTATTTAGATAACACACTTAAAACCAATAAAAACCATGGGTATGTACAGAGTTTACTGTATATCACATTGACTCCATTTGTACATATATGCCTCATGTCTATATACCATCATCTATCACCTATTAATATTTCTCGGTATGGTATCTCTCAAAGCATATCCAGAATGTATCTAAGATGTCCAGAAAAATAGGCGATTGTATTACTTATTTTGACATTTCCACCCAATCACCTATTTTGATGGACATCATCTAAGATACATTCCTGATATGCTTTGAGAGATGTCATAAGAAAAAACTAAATATAAACAGGTGCTAGATGGGCGTATATAGATATGAGACATTTGTATAGAAACTGAGTCAGTGTGATATATAATCTGTACATACCAATGGTTTTTATTGGTTTTTAATATGTTATCTATATAAATAAATGTTGTATTTTATAAATCATTTAATGCTGCGCATTGGACACCTTAAAAGTCCATCTTGTTTTGCCTGATTCTGTTGAATTTTGACTTTTTGGGATATGGAATCCCACAAGCCAACCTACTTTCCCTTTTACAAAACAACTCATAAAATAGTGGCAAGGAAAGGTTACTCCAATTGGTCACTATGGGCTACGCAGATCAACCTTCAGATACCTTTATGTAAGGCCCAATTACAATGGTTTCTTAGCAAGCTCAGATCACATGACATTAAGCACTGTTGCACACAGGTACCCATACACCGTAAATGTCCTAATATTCCAGGGAGCTCCAGGTGCATTGTACATCCTTACATGAAAGTCAATGGCTATATTCTGTCATCCACAGGTATGCGCTGGCACTACATAAACCTGCACTAGAATGTAAAACATCAAATACACACAGTTTGCGTCTGATTTGTTATGTTCGTATGCATACACGGGTTTACTTAGTGCTGGAGAATACCTGCTCTCTAGCCGGAGGAATACGCCGGCATTTATGGTGTACGGGGGGCAGGCGCCCTTGTGCAAAAGCCCTAAGATAAGAGCATCTACATGTTGTAAAGTGGATAACACATTTTGCTGTACCTACCCAAGGGCATTATTTTAGTCTGCGAGAAAACCAACACTGACATATTTTCAAATATTGCACATAAGCAGTTTATGCAACCCATGTGCACACTGAGCGGATTAATATATATATATATATCACAGTCAGGTTTTCTGTGGTGTTCATGAAAATAAATATGATTTACGTTTGCTTTTAACATAGGTAAAGAATGGTCTATCAAGTATTACACAAGAGAACAAACCCCTTGATGGCTATCTATATCACACAAAACTGCTCTTTATAAACAAAAATAGTTTTATGCTCCCCATATTCAATAAACCTCTTATTGTGACACAGAACCCCATTCTTTAACTTTCTCATTTCTACATCCTATAAACATAACTACCCCTATTGCTTTGCATACATTTCCCGGTAGCAGCTGTTTTATATACATCCCACTATAACAAGTGTTTCAAACAAACTTTCCAGTCTGACACTTCTCTAAATTGAAAGCAGATGACTAAATACATGTGCAAAACTCAGAATTTGGATTTGACTATCCTAATTACGTTTCTCAAAGAGACCCTGTCGCCAAATTGCAGGTAAAAGCACAGAAAAAAAATCAAGTATTTCACTTGCAGTGTTTTTCCAGTTTGTAAATTATTGTGTAGTTGTCGGCAACCTTGGCACTCCAGCTACATCAAGTCCCATGATGTATTGCAAGACGCATGGCAGAGGCATAATTGGATTTGTAGTGTCACCACAGCTGGAGTGCCGAAGTTACCTATCCCTGCTATAGAGTGTCACTGACAGATCTGAGTCTGCGAGGGTTGTTGACATCACATCCACAATATCAGTGCCCAGCAACAGTCTCAGGGCTTTTGGATAGCTACACAAGGGAGGCTTTTACTAGTAAATAAGAAGAATAAAATCCGTTCAATGCACATATAATCGTATGGGAATATTTTTGATGAAATAATTGGTCTGAGGACAAAGTCTCTTCAAGAACAGGGAGGCCATAGACAAGCTGATGTTTGAGATTGGACAGGACATCAAATGTCACTTGGAATCAATTAGTCATGTTCATTTCCAAGCAATGATCACCTGTAACTGTCCGAATGCTCATAACTCAGACTCTTCCTAATACATTGGAATACTATGTGATCATTGAATGTTTGTTTCTTTTTTTGTCCACTTGAAAGGAACCAGCCATATCGCCATGTGTATATCTTGTCTCAACATTATAGAAAAGTTGCTGGCATGGTAAATTCTGATAGAACATTGGCAGATTAATAACCACTGACCATTTTCAATCAGAGATGGGCCAGTATATGGCTGGCCATAGAATTGTTTTATTTTAATGATATCTTTGATGAATAATTAAAGCAATCTAGAATGAATAATGCAAGAAACTGAACTTGCCTCTTTTAACTGACGACTCTATCAGGGTTATTCACTAAAGAGTGAAGAGTTTGAAGAAGGCAGGAGAGGTGAACAATCTAGGCCAAAATAGCTGATTTGGAAAAATTCTCCAATTCCGCTCACTTTCCAGTTCAGCTATGTTGTCCTAGATTGCTCACTTCTCCTGCCTTCTCCAGACTCTTCACCCTTTTGTGAATAACCCTGTTAGTAATCTCCAGTAGGTAGCTATTACCTTTCAATATGTAAAATAACTACACAGTTAAGAAAATCAGCTATTCTGACTGCTACCAGTTAGGAAACCAAATGTGCCTTAACCGTCTACACATTTTCTTTATTGTTATGTACACATTATTTCATACATTCAGTTTATCAATGAAAACACCTTCTCTCTGTCTCTCTTTTCTATCACCCTCTCTTCTCAATTTACCATGACATTTTTAATGGATAACTCCCGGCAAACAGCTAAATAAGCTCAAGTACATAAAGTACATAGCTGTTCTATCTTCTATTTCTTACCATTCAGTCCTGAGATTTACACAACCCAATTAGACAGCCAGGTTGGTGACTTTTTTTTTTTACTGCAGTTGAGCAATAAAGATAGATTGCCCCCGGTCTGTGATTGGACAATACAGGAAGATCAACAGCTTAACCTTCTAATCACTCTGCTCTCTCCTCCTGTCAAAGGCAGCACAACTGATAGGTTCCTGGGGTTGCTTTGCAGTTTCCCAATCTGTGTTTCTAGAGACCGAAACCAAGTCAAATCCAAGTGCTTATACGAGTTACATTTATAATAAATATAATGGTCTTTTTTAAGGAGTACATACTGTAAGTGCATTGGTGTTTTGTTTTAGTTCAGATTTAATTTGCAACATGTATGACAGCCAATTCTTGGATTATGCTACTGTTTGAATTTTCGAGTTCTGATGGCTTTTATATAGACTACCATCTATTTTGAAAAGCAATTCATTTTTTAAATGCTTGCCTTCAGAAATTCATGATTGACAAGTCGTCCTCCCAGCAAAATTTGTGGAACCTAACCTAGCTGAACCATATAGAAAAGGTACATGGCAAAATGAGATATTAATCATAGGCTTTTAACTGTAAAACCATGCTGCTATTTTGACTGTTTCCTGAGAATTTACTTACATACAGCAGTGATAATGTACTTAAACACACAGTACACAGCAGGTTTGGAATGCATATCACAGGTAGCCATGAAGTTGGAATTTCTTTTTTTGGTGGGCCATTAGCAGCAAACATCTAGATGATTGCCAAGTCCATGCAGTAGATGTCATCATTTTTATAGTGTCAAAACTATTCACAAGATAACTGCTCCGCGAAAATGTGATTGCCTAGATAGGTATATCAAAAGAAAGAGCATACTATCCTGAGTAATGGTAACAACCTGGGATGTAGGGCTTCTCAGCAGGCATGTAACAAGGTGAATTACTTTATCCAAGAACAGGAATGAAGAGAAAATGATTTTCTGTTTCTTACATTTTCAACAAGTGCATGCATGCACATTCTGTAATATTCTATAGAGTATGGATGTGTAGTCATGCTTGCTCTGCTGAACATTCATGTGCAAAGTGTAGTGCTATAGTTGGTGCGGTTTCATGAGTAGCCCTGATTATTTTAACCCCATCCTAACATCTTAGGACTAAAGCATAATTTGCATAATATCAATTACCAGCGAAATGCATGTATCAGAATAGAGTGGGAATAACTACACTAAAGACTCCACTCAGCCACCAGGATGATCTGCTTGTACTCCTGAATCAGAAAAGAAAACAGACTGAAGAGCTCTCCATGAACGTCGGGTAGGTGCAGGTTTGGGTGGAGAGTTTGCAGTTCTATTATTAAGTGGGGTGGGGATTCGGGATGGGGACCTGTCTGGTTGAGTGTCTACCCGTGATCGGATCTTTGGGCGCAGTTTAAGTTTATAGATGGAAGGTACTCTATCTGGGCGTTTTATGTTTTTTTTGGGCCGTAAGACCACCCCACTAGTATCCGCTTCAGCTGCTGCAGATGGCTCTTCTGGCTCCACTTCCTCCTGAAGGTCCTCAGAAGCAGGTGGGCAGGAACTATCATCTGAAGAGCTAGACAGAGCAGGTAGTCTTCTCCAATTAGATGCAGTAAGTGCTACAGTGTTCCCCTCTGCATTCTGCTCCCTTGCTCCTCCAGTAATATAGAAGTTAAGTGAAGAAGAAGAGGAGCTAGAGGAACAGTATGCAGAGTCTATAGCAGCTGGCTCACAAGGAGGTGGACTTAGCAAGATGGTTCCTTGTGCTCTTCCAGTATTCTCTGAAGCCCCCAGGAGTCGTGTATTTTCCAGGAACTCTTTTTCAAAGCTGCTATACATTTGTTGCTCCTGACAAGCATCCAGAGGCTGTGGTGTATATCCCAGCTGTCTTCTTGCATTCGTTTTGGGAGGCTCTGTTTCAGGACAAGTACTAGGGGGCTTGGAAGCATTAGGAGTTGTCAATGAATGTTGTCCATCCTTATTGCGTGTAATCATCATAACTGTCTTCTTGTTATTTGGGGGCCCTTGACTTCGGGCACGCCTTGTTGAAGGTCCAGCACTTGAAATACCTTGAGTTCTGCTTCGATCAGACACTGCAGGTTGGGATACCTGGGATCGCCGGGAAAGAGGACCGCGGTCCTGGGACTGACTCCGTGCTACTGAAGTACGAAATCCTGGTCTTAATACTTCTGATGATTTTCTGCCAGCCGGGGCACTCTGGACAGAGGAGGCAGAAGAGTCACTGTCACCAGAATAGCGCCGGGAACGAGGAGGCCTGAGACAGAAGGAAGGAGTGAGATGTAGCAAAGACAGAAAGTAAATTATCAGGAAATATTCAATGACAGAAAATGTCAGAAAAAAAGAGTTTGTATTACATGCAACTCTAATTTATCAGAGATAAATGCATAGAATTATAAACTGTACACATTCAAATAATATCAGATACCAAAATTAGTTTCAGAATTTCTAATGTTGTAAAATACGAAAGTTAGTCACCTAAACTGCTTCCGACAGAGACCTATACTATAGTGATATGCAAGGCATGGGAGTAGGGGGAAAAGAGTTACTACAACTCGCTAATGCCTTCCAGATTAAAGCATTTCTAAACCCTAACAATGGACTTCTCTTGTTTGGTCTCTTGGCCACTCTATGTTATGCAAAGTGGGAGAAGGACGGGGTCCTATCTTGATTCTGTTGAACTTATACAGAAGGATAAGTTAGCATTGTCATCCAAGGACTGGAAGTGTCCTAATGGTAGAATCAATAGGTGAAAATAAAGGAAAAAAGCTTGAAAGTTTTGTTTTTGTAATAATAAAGCACACCATTTATAATATATTTGTGCATCTAAAAATAAAGTGTAACATTTGTAGCTTGGGTATTGTTCAGCTTTAAATTAACATAAATAAATACAATAAAAAAAATCAGCACTTTAGTCATGATGAATTTGATAAACTATTACCCAGAGTCTGTTAAAAATGGGTAAAAATACTGTCTACACAGGTTCTAGATTTCTTTTTTTGCCCCATCGTATGATCACAGTTTAGCTGCAGCTATTGGTGCTATTAGGCCTGTGGTTTGGAATCACTGCCCTAGGGGACTAGATACTGGATTGCCAAAGAGAACTGTAGGATTATTTTTAATGCTAACGCTAGAAGATCTGAATGACTGTTTCATACAAAAATATAAAAAACATCTTTTGTATGAATGATAAAAGGGAACAAAAAATGATGTCCCGTAAAGGGCAGTAGGGGGAGGAAGGAGTTAGTAAGAGCTGATCTTATTGATGGATTAATCTAGGCTGAAATAGGAGAATCTCTAAAAAATCTAAAGTTTTAGGTTTGCTGTAGCTAAACACAATATAAAACAACTGTTACGTTGTAATTTGCTGCTCCTGACATTTACAGCTAACTATAATATAACAAACTTTTTATTAGGGATGCACAGATACTTTTCGAGTACCAGTGCAGATACTTGGCATTTTCATGAGAACTACCAGGGTTGCAGCGGTTGCAGCTGGGACCTGGCTCTGGCGCCCCTCCACTGTCCTGAAATCATTAGTCGATATTGTTTTAGAAAAACTGTCACATGACAATAAACAAAAATGTATCAGTACTTGTACTTGTAAGTACTCGGCAAGTACCAGTACTCGTACTCCCAAAACTGGTATCTGTGCATCCCTTTATTTATATTTATAAAAACAGAATCGTACATTAAAACAGAGATGTACAAATCCCAGGAGCTCCGTGTGCTCCTTACACATGACAGCTGCCTCCTAATTTTTGAATTTTTCTCTAGTGTAGTCTTGGAGCTCAAAAGTATCGGTACATGTACTCGTACTTGTAGCGAGTACTGTACTTGGTATCTGTGCAACCCTACTTTTTATTATTTTTTTTTCACTTTCAGGTAGATACTAGAAAGTTTGCAACATTTTTTGGGGTCTCTGGGAACCTAAATTGAAAGTAAAGTCAGGAAAATAAAAAAAACTGCTGGGAGGTCAAGATTTTTGGCAGGTGAGACATGCAAAGCCTATTTTGGCAACACATTCTTCCTTTTGTATTTTCTGTGCACACTGTATGGTGAATGCACCTTACAGTGTACACACTCAGCCCATTCATGGCATCTCAAGTAGGGATGAATTTCGGCCAGCGGCCGCTGTCAAGGTGCAATGCAACCAGCGGGGCATTCGTCCATCAACGCTCTCTACATCTGCTCTATTTTATTTTGTTCAGCCTGTGTTTTAAACAAAAAAAACAGAAACGTGTATAGAGGACCCAAGAATGGGATGGGTGCTGGGGAGGATGTCATTCCTGTGCACATTTGTAGGAGTTACGTCATTGTTGGCCACCCAGTGGAGAAAGAAGATGGCTGGAAAATCGGAAGTGCTGGTAGCAGGGGGACACAGTGGGGGACTGAAGATCAATCTGACAGCACTGGATAAGGGCACACTTGTAAGGTAAGTGAACCTTAATGTACAAGTATGCTGTGCATACTTGAACACTAGGGCAAAAACCCAACAATTACACATTGGTTTGCTTCTGCTTTAAATAGTGAGTTTCTGGGCCTGCACACCTGCTCTTCGAACCCACCCTTTTGAATTTTGTACTTTTTTTTACATTATGCAAAATGCAACAAAAAAGCAGACACAACTAAAATATCTCTTTTCGTAAACACTGATACCTTAATACCCTAAATAAATCTTTGAACTGGTATTTGTACAGTCCATTAAAGCCTGACTTTTTGATAGAGTATCTGCCAAATACATGGCCAGGGTAAATAGTACATGCTGCAATATCTTCTGCAGATTAAATTTAGATACTTTCAGGCTTTTCCAAAAGCAGTTGGGGCAGGAGATGTGCAAAGGACTAAACCCACAGCAACCAATCAGATGTCATTTAGACAAAAAGTAATTTCTGCTTGCTTACACATTATTGTTTCTCTGCACTGGCTTATTGGCAAAGTCCTTCTACTGGTTTCCACTGGTTTAAGTCCAGGAAAGATTTTACTGAGCAGCTCCAGAACAGGTAGCGTGATACTTTTAGGGACACTTCTCTGCTTATTGGGAATGGGTGGACAGTAGAATTTGCACAGATAAAACGAGGATGGGAGGGGTGGTATTTTCAGGGACACAGGGAATCAGGATAAAAATACATGGACATTTTCCAGGTATGGTGTGCTGTTGATCCACACAGTCATTTCCAGGGGCATTTCCAGGTGTTATCAACTTGAGTGTAGGAGCACTGGTATTTGCAGGAACACTACTGATGAGAGTGATGGGGAACATGGAAATTGGCAGGAAAAGGCAAAAGTAGAAGAGAAAAAGTATACATAATTTTCAGAATTGTTATCAAGTAACTGGGTACATTTCTGCTGGTGCAGCTAATATAATGCAGCATATGATGTTAAAAATGCCTACATAAGTGCTAACAATCTATTAGGTTAACTTATAAACTAAACTACATGTTAACTTTTAACAGATTCTCATTTGTATTTAAATGCAGCCAAGTCAAGAACAAATAAATGATTAAGTGGTGATAACGACCTTTGTACATTTATGAAATGCCCTTGTTAATAAAATACTTTATAATCCTTGCAAAATACAAAATTAATGATTATAAGCAAGTTAAAATGACATGAACAAAATATAAAAAGGTAAAAGCATAGTGTGGTCAAGAGGTCAGCAGTTTCCTTTCTACTAATAAATGTTTATTTCTGTCAGTCGTCTTGAGCAGCTGACTATCCATAAGGCTATGCATTATCTAACATTGCTGTTATGTCCATCGTATCCACGTGATTATGTTCTGTTAACGTGGATGCCTTCTGACTTTCCTGAATCATTTTCAAAAGACATCCTTTAAAAGCTACAAAAAACACATCATGTCTATGATCATTACATTCACTCCAGTTAAGGAGTGCTGTTTAATTGTGGCTGTTATAAATGTTTCATTTAAAGAATAAGTGCATTTTGACATACTTATACTTAACATTCTTTAAAATGTCCAGGCAAGTGTTGAAATATAACCTTTCACCTGCCTATAATCTACAGTAACACAACAAAGTAATCTAACTGCAGGGAATGGCTCACATGTAATGAGTACAGAAGCTAACAGAAATAACACTCGGTCAGGTACTGGAGACATACACTAGAAAACACTGAACAGAGCCAGCTACGAAATCAGATAAAGTGATGGGAATACTCACAGCTATAGGTCCTCTTTACTCGAAGATACTAAACATGACTGAAGGGCTTGAGATTCTATCTATAGATCTCCCGCCATGCTTTGTATAGGAAAGACATGTGGTGGTGAGGGATCTACATCTATGGTTTGTGTGTTATAATTACAACTGTTCACCTTTTTCTTGTCCCCCAGGGACTTCTTCTAGGATCATCAATGTTCTGCCAGTTTAAATTCCCTAGCTGATGGTTAATAAAATTATCAGCAGACTAAGGACTCTACGGATGGATTTAACCCTTTCGCTGCCAAGCCCTCCGGAACATTTTTCAAATCAGCTGGCCAAGCCATTTTTGAATTTTCTGCAATTTTTTCCTATTGGTTTGATTTTCAACTGCTGCGTTGCTAGCGTTTGTAAAAGACCCCCCAAACCATATATTTTCTGAAAGCGCAGGCCCGGTAGAATAAAAAGATGGTGATACTAAATTTGTAGGCCCTGCGATAATTGCGCAAATGTTTCTCAAATTAATATTAAACCGATAAAAATACACAATTCAATTGTTAAAACACACAAAAATCAGTATCCGTGCACAAAAAAAATTATTTTCTGACTAAATCTAAAAGATAAAACTGTATTGAGTTAATAATTGGTGGAGGCATACAGGGGAAAGACCAATGTGTGTGTTGGAGGAGGGATACCAGGGAAAGAACAGTCTACAGTATGTGCTGAAGGAAGGATACAGGGGAAAGACCAATGTGTGTGTTGGAGGAGAGATTCAGGCTGGGTTCACACCTTGGCGTATTGAATATGCGCATCTGTCGCGCATTTTTTTACCGCGATTCGCGGTAAAAAAGTTGCGCGACCGTCGCGCGAGCCAACATGTGTGCTGGAGGTGTCATTTCATTGGGGAAGGGCCAAGAAGAGGCTGATTTGCACAGTGAATTAAATGTATTATATAGGTGTTTCTATGTACAGTAATTGTATGTTGATATTTATTAATATATCAACTTATTATAAAGCTGAAGAAAGATACTGACTGAACTAATGTTGATAAGCTCTACTGTATATGGACCTTGGCTACACCTTCCAAGGTCAAATATTTTTCTTCCTGTTTTGCTTTTTTATTTCTTCTTTTCACTCTCTTTAATTGAGAGCCCATCATACCTTCCTTCATCTCCTTTCTTTCCTCAGCCTCATCTCTTCTAACTTCTTTCCTCCTCCTAATACTACTGCTGTTCTTTTTCTATCAATGTGAATGCCAGATTATAACAGCAAGGACCATGGTCCTTTGGCTTTGTTTGTTTCTTATTTATTTGTGTTATATTTGTTGTTGTATATACAGTATATTCCTTTATATTGTCTGTTAAAAGAAAAATGATCTGATTAAAAAAGGAGCATGGTCCTTTTGATTCCCCTATGAACTGTTCCTTAAACACTCTAAGCCATTCGATAATGTTTGCACTTATGGGGAGTCTCAAGGTTGAATACCTACATTTTTTTAGTTCTGTTTTGTGTTCCCACAAGATTGGTTAGGTTGGCCACTAGGCATTCATGGTGTTGTAGCTGCCAGCTTGTATATCATTTAAACGGTGTATTCTTGTTATACATCAGATTCAACACATGTTTTAAACCAATAATTGTTCACCTGACTAAATATCTGGAAATTTTATTGAAAAGGGCATTGAAATGAAAAAAGTCTAGTACAATTTGCTTAGATATTTTAAAAGCTATCAAGCTCCAAAGAAAGACTTCTATAACCTACTATTGCCGGGATACTTACAAACAAACTGACATCTGCAGGGATCATGTTTGTCCAGATAATGTTCTAGAGTGTCCCATCCTCCCCCAACGCGCACCATGACATGACTCCGCAGAACCTACAAAGAACAGAGGGATTAATCAGAAGGTTTGCTGGGCATGCCATGATGTAAGCAAAACATATTTATTCAGATTTGTTTAACAAGCTACTACAAATGGGCATAATTATGAATGAAGTGCAAAACCCATAGCAACTAATCTGACTCTAGTTTACAGCGCCATATAAGATTAAACCAAATTGATTGCTATGGGTTACTACTCTTTGCACAGTAATGATAATTTCTGCATTTTTAAAAAAAATAATCCTGATAATGTTATTCAATAACTACATGTGAATCAAACTACAAATTACATTTCAAATTAAAGTGTATGTACAGTACAGCCATTTTTTAAAAATAGTTTTGAATATGAGCAGGAAAGGGTTAAACCCCATGCCAGTTTGCTTTTAGCTGTCTGTGTACCATTGCAGACATTTCCCTTCACTTCCTGGCCCACAGATACAACAGACATTTAGCAGAAATCGCCCAAACTAAGGGGATTACACTCATAGACAGTTTTCCCCAACACAGGTGTCCCCACTGGAAGAATTACCCAAACCTTGTACTCTGGGGACAAATCTAGAATTTGTATATCCCTTATCTTTCTGTCTCAGCTGTACAAATAGAGGGGAAAATCTCCCCAATGGGGGCTCAGGCAGCAATGAAATCCTAACAGATGGTTTTGCCTAGAGTTACACTTTAATGCACTCACATTTGTAAGCAGTGTTTGGCAAAGTTTGAGGATTATTTTTTTTTTTACTGTGCAAAATAAACAGATAGCATATTAGGCTGTACAAAGTCATAAAATTAATATTGTACAGATACATGACTACACAAAAAAATGATAACACAATAAGTGATAACAATATTCTAGGAATTATATCATACCAAGCAACAGGGCAATTCCTACCTATTTCGCTGCCCGAGGCAGCCAGAAGAAGTGGGCTGAGCTGTCAGCCAAGCGCAAGGTGGACTAAGCTGTCAGCCTGGGAGGCGGGAGTTTTAAGTCGGCTGTGCTGCGCCCCCTCCCCTGTACCCCCCCCCCTCAAAATGAGATGCCATCTGAGGCTGCCTCAATATGGGGACACTCCTGCCAAAACTGTGCTCCTTCTAGCACAGAGGGATCACAATGATGAAATCAAACCCATATTGGGTGACAGGGTTTAGAAATGTGCATCCATTTCAGGCACAGAATGGAATGCATACAAAGGTTAAGCTCAGTAATGGGAATAAAATGTAGTTCTGAATAGAGAAAAGCCCTAAGGGCTTGTTCACACGACGCCCGGATTCAGTACGGACCAGATCCGTGCGCTCCTGCACCCAAAATGCATCCCAATGTATCCCTATGTGTTTTATGGGCTACAGTTCTCACGAGCGCAGTCCGTTCCGGTCCAGACAGAAAAAATACTGCATGTCACATTTTGTCCGATCCGGATACGGTCTGGAAATGCACGAACGCGTCAAAAACCCAATGAAAACGCGCCGAAAACACACTGCACTGCAGCTAACATACTGGCAGCCCCACTCCCATAACTGGAACACTTCAAAAACACACTGCATGCATAGCACCGCATCTGCAGATCAGCACCACATCGGGACCAGATCAGGACCAGAAAATCATGTGAACAAGCCCTCAATGCTGACAACTATATTACCACTTAGACCCCATTCACACTGAGCTACATCAAAAAAAGGGCTTTTTCAGCGCTGATTTGAACTGAGCGACATTGAACTACATTGAGCTACAGTGCACATTTTGTTGCACTATGTAGCGCTTCTTTTGGCAGCCTATTGGGGCCAAATCGCACAGAATCCGCTGGAAAAATAGATCATGTTCGAGCGACAAGCTTCAGCTACAAGCTACAGGGGATCTTTAAATGTGAGATGTGAACAGCTCCATTGAACAAGCTACATTGAGCGATTTTTGAGCGATATCTGAGCGATTTTTGAGCGGAAATTGCACTACAAATCGCTCAGTGTGAATGGGGTCTCAGTGTTATTACAAGAAACGTTTGAGTATCCAATGCTGATAAGAACTGCATCACAGGATTCTTTTATGCTCTAGTGCTCCTTTTCTCATATTTGGTAGGTAAAATAATAAACCAGTTAATTTAGAACAGGAGTGAGAGTAGGAAGATAATGTCCTCCATTTCACAACCTATCATACTTGCAGTCATCCATGTTCAGTCTACCACTGCACTAGGAACTAGGACATTACCCATATAATGGCTCATTTTACAGATTTATGTGATTCATTTCTGGTAATATGACTTTCAGAAACCTCTGGCAGAAAACACAGCATGGACATCATGTTCTGGCAGTACAATTGAATACAATGAAGTACACCAGCCAGTGCACAGTATGCCCATACAGGAAGAACAGCCTGACTCTTCTGCCATGCCTATGGAAGCAATGAAACGCCGTCTAGAATTTGGAGATCCAAAACACATACCAGTAATGGATGAAATATGAGAGAATTGTAGAGCAGAGGGGAAAGAACGAGGTGACTTAACCTCAGTCCTGAATAATTCAAGCGACAGCTCATGTTCCACGTTTACTCACTCACCAGTCCTATTGTCAGAGTCCAATGGAGAGGAACTGGGGATATTAACCTTTTCACTGCAGATGCCGGGTAATAGGATCTGTCACATGCCAGCACACAAACTCTAGATCTTTTCTACCTAACTAGCCTTTCAGATGACGATGTCAAATAAAGGAAATGTTTCCACTTTACATATGACATAATGGGACAAATATTGAATGTTCCTGCAACCGAGCTGAAACCATAAACACCCACCCTAACGTTCTTGCTCAGCTACAGAGAAGATTTCATACTTAGTTACTAACAAAAAATTGAATTTGCGTGTTGAATGTATATATTTCAATGACTGGAATATCCCTATTTATATAGTTAAGAAGGAAATAAACTTGTGATTGGCTCCAGTCACGTTTCGTCCAACAATTTTTGACCTGGCCCTTTCGACAAAATTTTATAAAACATTTGACTTTTGTGGAAGTGGAGGGATGCTGGCAGGGCCGCACACTGCTCATAAGTCAGCAGGAAATTTAAGTACTCTATGGCCGGCTTTACCCCTAATAATGAGTATAGTAGGAGCAAATGACAGGCCTTTAATTTTTTTTTTTTTGCGATATAGAATCGCAAAAAAAAAAAAGAATTTTTTAAAAATGCGCCCTCACGGAAAGTGTTATCACCCCGCGTGGGGGTCGCCATATCCATACACTTGCCGTACAGACAATGCGCAAGTGTCTGTACGGCAAGTGTACAGACATGGCGCCAGAAGACGAGCATCATCATTCCGTGCAGGGTGATCAGGCTTGTCTTCTGGTCGCTGTTTACCACAAAAAAGATGGCCGACGACAGTAAACCTCATTGCTGGCAGCCATCTTGCACATGCTCGGTGCGTCTCAGCTACCACAAACAAAATGGCCGCCGGCCCTGAGGTTTATTGTCGGTTACATAGTTAGTCAGGTTGAAAAAAGACACAAGTTCATCGAGTTCAACCTATAGACATAGGTGGCAGCGGGCATGTACTGCGCATGCACAGTGTGTCCCTGCCCACAACAAAGATGGCCGCTGCAGTGAGTACCACAACCCTTTTGCCCAGACAAAAAGCACTGTAAAAATCATACTGCACAAAGTGCTGTATTTCCAGTGTTGCACGGATGACAGCAGCAGCTTCAACAGTGAAGGGCTTTGGTCACATACCCACCCCCTCCTCTCCATTCACAAAAAGCCTTGTTAGTATCTGAAACCTCTTCAAAACCTCCTATGTCCTTCTTGCAATATGATATCCAAAACTGTACCCCATATTCTAAATTTGGCCATACACTGTGCATTTTGTCTTGATTGTTCCATTCATGCTAAACAGACTGAGCTATCATATTCTGACAGTGGTGTCTGTGCAGCTGTCAGAATACCTATCAGTGAATGCAGCTGATTAGCTGCCGCCACCTTTTGGCTGAGACTTTTTGGACTGGCTTATTCTGCATAAATTGATAAAAAGTTACTTTTGTCAAACAGAGGGGCCACACACTGGAGGAATTTCCGCCGACTCAGCAGGACTTGGCCGAAATTCAAACAGCGTATGAGCAGCTTTAAAGTAGCCGTAAAGTATTGTGTACACAGGTAACTCTATACTAGCATCATGTGGATTTATTTTTACAAATATCATGTTTGATTTTGCAGTTGCTAAACTCTGCAAAACTCTGTTTTGAAAAGGACTTTTTTTACATTTAATGTACAAGAAGCAGTTTTGCTACCATGGCCTTGCCACGACAGTTCATCTGCCATTTAATTGTTCATGTTGCCAGTTTGTGGAGATAATTCTGCGTGATGGCACAATCCTTCTGTGGTTTTATACCGCTATAAAATTTTGTGTTGTCGGTAAAACGGAAAATTGTATCATACTTACCAGTAATTTTCCTTTCCTGGTGCCTTTCCATGGCAGCATACCAATGATAAGCTCCGCCCCCTTATCCCCACCCACAGGACCAGTAAAGATCTATAAAAAAGAGAGAGAGACTCCCCCTGCATTTTTGTAACTATGCGTCGATATACAGGGAGGGAAGTATGCTGCCATGGAAAGGCACCAGGAAAGGAAAATTACTGGTAAGTATGATACAATTTTAAGTTTTCCTGGTGCCTCCATGGCAGCATGCCAATGATAAATAACAAGCTGACAGGGTGGGCAAGTGTGATGCAAAAAAAGAGAATGCAGGGGGAGTCTCTCTCTCTCTCTTTTTTATAGATCTTTACTGGTCCTGTGTGTGGGGATAAGGGGCGGAGCTTATCATTGGTATGCTGCCATGGAGGCACCAGGAAAAGTAATTAGCAGTAGACTAATGTCAGACAGAAGATCCCACAAGTGGCCAATAAAAAACATGCATGCCACAGCCTAGCTATTTAATTCTTTGGGAACCAGCAACACAAATGTTACACTTACTTTAAGAAATAGCTCCAAGCCAGGTTACAAATTGTTTTATTCTGGAAATCCT